TGTGGCTATACCACAGCTTCTCTATCCATTTGTTTGTTGATGGGCACTTAGGTTGTTTCCAACTCCTTGCTATTGTGAACAAAGCCGTGAAAAACATGGGTGTGCATATTTCTGCTTGGATGTCAGTTGTGGTCTCTTTGGGGTATATTCCCAGTAGTGGAATTGCTGGGTCAAATGGTACCTCTATTCCCAACTTTTTGAGAAAGCGCCATACCTCCTTCCATAGTGGTTGCACCATTTTACACTCCCACCAACAGGGAATAAGGGTTCCAGTTTCTCCACAACCTCGCAAGCATTTGTTGCTGTTCTATTAAATTTTGCTATTTTGACTGGAGTGAGATGATATCTCATAGTTGTTTTAATTTGCATCTCTCTTAGATCTAGGGATTTTGAGCATTTCTTCATGTCCTTGTTAGCCATCTGAATGTCATCTTTGGTGAAGTGCCTGTTCATATCCTGTGCCCATTTTTCTTCTTTTTTTTTAAAATTTTCCAATTTCTTTCATATTTTTACGAGAAAAGGAAGGTGATTTTCATGTCTAAACACTGGAGAAATCTCAATAATATTTTTACATTCATTGCCATCTTCTAAATGAGATGTTAAATGAATCATAGAGTGAAAAAATAGTTTAATATTTAGCTTTCAGAATATAGAAACGTCTCAGAGAAACTATTTTTCTCCAGTGTATGTATATTGAGGCAATGGCTGTATAGATAATAATTCTTACAGCTATGGCCATTACGGCTCTTTGGATATAATGTACATTAAATTTTTAAGTCCAAACCCCACTCTGTTGTAAAAGTAAATTCAGTTCAGTGCTATGGCAGTTATACAAATACACATAAACACTATTATTAAAACTTTAAGAGTTAGAATGCTTACTAATTACATTAACATAAATGCTAACAAAAAACAGTCAAATAAATGCACAGTATCAAATAACCCAGTTCTCAATTAACTGGTTTTGTGCCAATGAAACACAACTACACAATAACAAAAAAAAGTTATTAAATAGCTGACTTTTAAGCGTAAACCATGTTGTTGTTGTTGGTGTTATGTGCCGTCGAGTCGCCTGTGACTCATAGTGACCCTGTGTACAACAGCCCTAAACTCCGCTCTGTCCTGTGCCAATTGCACTGTCTCTGACACTCCCATCCCAATTATCCCAGTCACTGAATCAATCCACCTCATAGAGGGCCTTCCTCTCCTGCGCTGTCCCTCCACCCTCCCAAGCATGATGTCCCTCTCCAAGGACCGGTCTCTCCTCACTACATGTCCAAAGTAAGTTAGACGGAGCCTCAGAATCCTTGCCTCCAAGGAGCCACCTGGTTTAACCCTCTCCAGGACAAATCTATTTGTTTTCCTAGCAGTCCATGGTATTCTCAGTACTCTTCTCCAGCACCACAGCTCAAAGGCATCAATTCTCCTTCTATCCTCCTTGGTCATTGTCCAACTCTCTGATGCATAACAGGTGTTTGCGAAGACCATGGCCTGTATCAGACGCACCTTAGTCTCCAGAGAGACACCACTGCTCTTCAGCACTTTGGAGAAGTCCCTAACAGCAGACTTTCCCATGGCAATGCGCCTTTTAATTTCCTGGCTGCTGGTGCCAAGACTGTTGACTATGGAGCCAAGCAAACTAAAGCTGTGTACAATCTCAATCTCTTCACCATCCATCCTGATGCTGCCGATTGGTCCAGTGGTGAGAATCTTTGTCTTCTTGACATTGAGCCTCAATCCATATTGTAGGCTGCAGTCCTTGACACTCTGCAGCAGGTGCTTCAGGTCCTCCTCAGTTTCAGCAAGCAGGGTTGTGTCATCCGCATAACGCAGATTGTTGATAAATCGTCCACCAATCCTGACCCCATATTTCTTCTCATAGAGCCCAGCCTCCCGGATAATCTGTTCTGCATATAGGTTGAAAAGGTATGGAGATAGGATGCATCTTTTAGGAGTCGGTCGTATTCTTTTGAAAGTGTCTCTGATTGCATCTTCATTGTCATCACGTCATTTTGTGCTTTAGAAAGGGCATCTGATGTCTTCTTCAATTCAACCTTCAGTTTTTCTTGGTCTTCTAGAAGTTTTTTTATTTTCAATTTCCAATATGTGGTGCTCTCCCTTAGGATAGGTTTTTAATAACTTTTTTAGTTTCTTATGTTTTTCCATGAGTATTTTGGCAGCTTTGTTAGTATTTTATGTTTGTGTTTTGATTGCTCCTTTGTTTGACAGTTCTTTTGCCGGTTGAGTGATAAGGGAAATCAGAGATCTTAATACTAGCCAAAAGAATAGTGAAAATCCAGAAATGTAAAGATTTCTTTGAGTTCTAAAAGGTTTCATCTGCATATGTTCGTAGGCACTAGGTCTACCAGTTGAGCTCTTCTCAATGGTATGAGCAGAATACTTTCTTACTTCTCTCACGGCATCAAGAAACAGAACAATCAAAAGTATTATTATAGTAAGGAAAGCCTTGTTCCATAAATTTGCAATTTTACCCCACACATGAAATGAAAAAATCTTGTGCCATCTCTGAGGAGGAATAAAGGGGAGACAGAAGATTAAGATGAGTCCTATTTCAGCATAAAGGAAGGTTGCAACTGCCACCCACTGAAGTGTCTTTTTTTTTTACTCTCTTCACACCCCGTCTGCCACGGCCCGGCTGTCGGCGCTGCTCCGCCGCGGCGGCGCGGGCCTGTGCCCATTTTTCTATTGGATTATTTACCTTTATCTTGTTGTGATGCTCAAGTATTTTATAAATTCTGGATATAAGTCCCTTATCTGATGTGTTATTACCAAATACTTTTTCCCAGTCAGTGGCTTCCCTTTTTACCCTGTTGGAGAAGTTTCTGGATGTGCATAGGGATTTGATTCTTAGAAGGTCCCATTCATCTACGTTATCTTCTCCTGGTTGTAGGGATAGAAACTTTCAATCTTCCCATCACTGACCTTAGTGATTGGTGCGTACATTTGAGTGACAGTTATATTAGCATATCCTCCAGTTATTTGTATTGACATTATCCCATTATTGACATCATTGTACTTTGGAATAGATCTTGAGATGTTCTTTTCAACAAAAAATGGGACATTATTTCCCTTCAATTTGTCATTCCTGGCACAGTAAACATGTATGTGACTGTCTGGCTCAAAATGGCAATTCCAGTTCATTTTAAGTCATAAATACTTAAAACTCTCAGCTCACACTTTTCAGTTGCTTCCTATGCATTTGGAAGTTGAACAATGAATAAGGAAGACCAAAGAATTAATGTTTTTAAATTGTGAGGTGGGCAGAGAATATTGAGTAGACAGAAGACTGCCAGAAGAACAAGCAGACCTGTCTTGGAGTAAGTGCCGCACGGATGCTCCTTAGAAGGATGGATGGTGAGATCGTCTCACCTACTGTGGGGATGTTACAAAGAGGGGCAGGTCCCTGGAGAACATCATGCTTGGAAAAACAGATGATCAGCAAAGAAGAGGGCCAACCTCAAGGAGAGGGATTGTCAGGTGACTACAGTGATGGGGTAATGTACAGCAGAGACTGGAGGGTGGTACGGGGTCCAGGAGGGTTTCATTCTGTTGTGCAGAACTGTAAATCAGAGCGAGCTCTCTGGCGCCCAACAACAACAGTGCCGAGGATGTCTGTCTTAGCTGTCCCATCACATTGTGCAGACCTCCAGTTCTCCTTGATTCAAACACTACACTTCACAGTCTGATTGTCAGTGGATGCACTCAGCTGTTTCTGCCCATTTTGAGTCATCCACATCAGCAAATGACGACCCGTCGGCACGCGATGCTCCTGAAAGCTGTGCTTCACTCATACGGTTGAGGTAGAGGCTTGCTCTGAGGAGGCAGCTCTTCCCTAATCTGAATCTAAATGCCTTCCGACTTGAGAGTCGCATCTTCTGGGCCTCAGTCAGATTGTGTTCCACTGCTGCTCATAAAGTTATTCCTTGTCAGCTGTATTAAAGGAGATGTGCCGGGGGCTTCAACACTACAGTGGTTGTGAGGGTTCTGCAGGAGCACGCCTTGCTTTGTTCTGTTGTGCATAGGGACCCTCTGAGTCAGACCGGACTCAGGCACCTAACAGCGTAGTCATAGCTACCAAGCCATCCTGCAGTGGCTTCCTGGGGCTGCGTCTCTGTAAGGGATGAGTCACTCTCATTTGAGCCACGGGAACGATGGGCTTGCTTCTTCCATTTCTTCAGCTCTAAGGCAGTTTTCCACAGAGCAGTAGGGCAGCACTGCAGAAGGCCAGCGTCTTTCACGGATCTCTCTGGGGAAAGACCAGTCATAGGGATGTGAGGATTTCTCAGCTCAGCCATGATGTGTAGGAAACTTGGAGGTACCTTCTTCATAAATGGTACGTAAAGATGAGCACTGCTGTCTGTGGAGATCTTGTCAGACATTAGGTTCTGTGGGATGCCACCTACCAGCTCAAGGGTGTGTGTATGGAAGTGGTGAGGAGAGAGCATGAGATAGTCTTTCTGTGCCGGAGTGAGTAGGACAAGGGGACGGGTTCTAGGGGACGGGGACGATCAGGAGCTGCCATCACTGTAACGTGCGTGCAAGCATAAATGAGGGTCGCTTGACGACTGGGACGCCTCCCTCTGCCCCTGTCTCTCTCCCATAGTTCCCATCTTTGCGGTACTGGCTTTGGTAGACCAGATGGCTCACGCCGCCTCTCTCTGTCTCTCGTTTCCAGCTCCAGGAAGCCTTCGGATGGGAGCCCTTCATCCAGCTCTTTGCTGAGTACCAGACTCTCTCTGCTGTGCCCAGTGACAACACAGGCAAGATGAACCTGTGGGTGAAGAAATTCTCTAGTAAAGTGCAGAAGAACCTGGTGCCTTTCTTCAGGGCCTGGGGCTGGCCTGTGCAGGAGGAGGTGGCTGCGAGCTTGGCCTGCTTGCCTGAGTGGCAGGAAAACCCCATGAGAATGAGCCTCCTTTCTCAGAACTGAAGGCGATGGAGCCAGTGGGGCCCAAAAGTGGAGGGGACAGTCCTCCTATCCACCACTTATGGTCGTCTCAAGTGCCTGGAACCTGAAGATCACAGAACAGACTGGAAGCCGTGCTCTCAGGCGTGAGTGTCCCTCCCACTCCGTGACTGCTTCTGGGCAAGCAGGGCTGCTCTCACCCATGGGTCCCTCTGCCTCCAAGACACATCAGCTCCCAGGAGGCTCAGTTCTTCCTTGTGATCACTGAGGGTGGGATTTCATCCTGAGGACGTGGGATTTGCAATCTAAACCTGATGCTGGACCTGAATTGGAATAACTTTATGGCAATAATCTCTCATCACTGCTCCACTTGCAGGCCCTGATCAAGGCTCTTTGCTTCTTATGTCTTGAAGAGTTTTCTAAGAGTTGGAGAGGCAGGCTGGGCCCATGGAGAGAATCCTAAGCCTGGTGTAGAAGTCTGGGTAACCGCTTAACTCCTCTGCTTTGTTTCCTTGTCACTCATAATCTGAGGTCAAAACCTCAGCTCCCAGGGATACCTTGAAACTTCAGACTGATGGCTGGGCATGTCAGTGAACCGGTATGCACACACACGTCAAGGCCTTCTTCCTCTTCTGCTTGTCCCCAGAGGGGCCTGGCTGTCCCCTCCAATGTGGGCAAACTGAAAACTGAGTCCACCCCCTTGAGGACAGTATTTCATTTCTTCCTTGTTTTCCTTTTCAGATAATATCTTGCTGTATTTTAGATAACATTTTATGTAACAGGATAGGTTTCTGTTTCACAATTTCTACACAAAGTGTTGGTAATATCTTTCACAATGTGACATCATTCTTGTTCATTCCATTTGGGCTGTACCAGTTTCAGTACTCTAGTTCCCCTGCCCTTACCTTCTAGTCTCTGCTTTAGGAACTGCTGACCTTGGCCTCTTAGACATTAGCTGCCTCTCCTCTGTGAAAGGATCCAGAGAACGTGAGTGTTGTTCCCAGGTCTGGTGTCTATAGACTCTCCTAGTTCCCTTGAATCCTACATCCCTGCCTTGTGGAAAGATTCTCATCAGAATTCAACTGAACAACAACAAAATAGTATCAACTCACACTTGATGCTAAAAGTCACTGGAGCTTGTTCTTTCTGGTTGGTTCATTGCCCAGTGTTTTTGCCTACTCACTGAGAGAATCTGCTTTAGCCACCCATCCTCGGTCCGTGGTCCTCTGTGCCCAGCACCAGCAGGCCCGGCTCCTCCACGCTCCGTGGAGTCCCGGCGTGGCTGGTTCTCTGCAGCAGCCGTGCAGAGCAGCCTGTTGCCCTGCCGGACTTCACTCGGATCACAGTCGATCACTGACAGTACCCACCCAAGCCTGAATTCACTGACCGCAGCCCAGCATTCCCGTAGCTTGTTTGTCATCCCATCCCAACCCGGCGGGTGAGGCTTTACCTGGAGTGTCTCTAGGACTGATGGACTGGACACCTAGTATTTGCCTCTCGCTTACTTTAAACCATGTCTTCCTTTGTTGAGCTTGTCATATGTGGACCTTATTCAGAACAAACTCATCAAGTTAACAGCACATAAGTACAGCAACACACCATTAGAACAAATCTGATTGGATTTGTTGTCCTGGATGAAGGGCCATCTGAAGGAAACCATTTCTCTGTGTCAAGTTTATGGGCAGACGGGAAGCGTTCAACAACAGAAGAGGCTGTTTGACCTCTGCCTTTTGTTCCTGGTTCCCTAGTGGCCCTGATGCATCTCTGTTTCTGAAATAACCGAAGACTCAGGTGATGATTTGGACATTCAAATCCAGCCCAGCTGACCTTTCAAGGACAACTAAGACACATGAGGACAGCCCCAGGACTGAGGACGGGTCACCTCACTGAGGTGTGGCATCCAGGCCGAGCATGGCTCTCCCGGTTCTGCAGACTCTAAGAAGCAGGCAACTTTGTGCACCAATTAGATGAAGATCTGCAGTGGGACCCATGAGCCAAGACACCCTCACAAGCAACACCCCGGGAGGCTGTCCATGCAGCATTTGCCCTCAGCTACACAGTCCTTCTTTATGCAGATGTTAGGAGGATGCAAAGTTGGAGTTTTAGTGGGTAGATGGAACATATGGCCACTAGAAACGTCGTGACATGCTACAACAGATAATCAACAGGGGAGTTATAGCAAACAGATACTGTCCATTTGCATTCTTCTGTTCCTAACAAAAGATAGAAAAGTCTGTATTCCTGAGTTCCCAAAGATGTCACTGTAGTTCAGCCAGATCACCATGTTCCATGTGTGTTTATTCTCAAGGTAGTCCTAAAAACCTAGTGCTGTTCTATACCCTTTTTGTAGAAGGATTGGAAATATGCAGCGAGTAAGTGGTTAAACCATGATTTGAACTCTTTCTTAACAGGTGGACCTTGGAGCACACACTCTTAGCTAACATGTTGTTGTTATAGGCTGTTGAGTGAGAACTAAATCATAGCTGATCATCCAGTGGGTTTTCAGAGGCAGTAAATAGGAGAACAAACAGGTTCATCCTGGAGGAGGTTAAACCAGGCTGCTCCTTGGAGGCAAGGATTCTGAGGCTCCGTCTGACATACTTTGGACATGTTGTAAGGAGGGACCGGTCCTTGGAGAGGGACTTCATGCTTGGTAGGGTGGAGGGACAGCGCAGGAGAGGAAGGCCCTCTATGAGGTGGATTGATTCAGTGACTGGGATAATTGGGATGGAAGTGTCAGAGACAGTGCGATTGGCACAGGACAGAGTGGAGTTTAGGGCTGTTGTACATAGGGTCGCTATGAGTCGCAGGCAACTTGACAGCATATAACAACAACAACAGATCAAACAAGAGGATTGCCCATCGACCCTTGGAGCAGCTGATGGATCCAAACCATATGCCTTTGAATTGGCAGTGCAGCTCCTCACCCCTAAGCCATCAGTTGTACTGCAGAGTCAAAACCAACCCATAGCTGACCCTCCTGTGGGGTTTCAAAGGCAGGTAAGCACATGGGAGGAGACTGCCCATCCTTCTCCCACAGAGTAGCCAGTGGCCTCGGACCATGTACCTTCAGGGTTGCAGCAGTTTCTTGCCATTGTTGTTGTTGTTATGTTCTGTAGAGGTGCTTGTGACTCATAGCGACCCTATGTACAACAGTCCTAAACCCTGTTCTGTCCTGTGCCAATCGCACTGTCTCCGATACACCCATTCTGATTACCCCAGTCACTGAATCAATCCACCTCACAGAGGGCCTTCCGCTCCTGCGCTGTCCCTCCACCCTACCAAGCATGATGTCCTTCTCCAAGGACCAGTCTCTCCTTACAACATGTCCAAAGTATGTTAAATGGAGCCTCAGAATCCTTGCCTCCAAGGAGCCGCCCGGTTTAACCCTCTCCAGGATGAATCTGTTTGTTTTCCTAGCAGTCCATGGTACCCTCAATACTCTTCTCCAGCACCACAGCTCAAAGGCATCAATTCTCCTTCTATCCTCCCTCCAGAGTTTCTTATACATTCCTGCATCTATTGAAGCTTACATCTGTATTCCCATGAGACTGGGGGTGCGGCTCCTGAATCATCAAGCTCCTGAGAACTTAGTGAGCAAAGTTCTTTCCAGTTAGAAAGAAGTTGCCTAATGATAAGAGCTGTTCTTCCTAAACTCACATCCCTCATGGCACAAGCTGATTTCTTTCCAAATCCCAAAGCCTATCCCATGACCCTACTCTGGGAATTTAAAGGCCCAAGCCTCCAATAATTTCCACACTCTGTAGGGTCACTTTTTTTTGGAATGGGAATAACTATTCATCTCTTCCAGTCAGTTTTGTCAGGTAGTTGTCCTCCAGATTTCTGCATCTGTGTGTTGAAATATGTCATGGAGAAGAGACTGAGATTGCTAACAAGTTCAGTTTTCTTGGTTCTACAATTAACACTCTTGGCACCAGCAGTGAAGAAGTCAAAAGATGAATGGCATTGGGACAGCCCACTATCAGGGACTCTCAGGGGTACTGAAGAGTAGCGATATCAGCCAATAGACTAAAGTGCCTGATCCAAGCTATAGTTTTCACAATTATTTACTATGCATCGGAGAGTTGGACAATGACTAGGAATAATAGAAGAAGAATTGATGCCTTAGACCTGGGATGCTGGAGAAGAGTCTTAAATATACCATGGACCTCCAAGAGAACAAAGAGGTGTGTCCTGGAGAGGGTAAAACCAAGCTGCTCCTTGGAGGCAAGGAGTTTGAAGCTCTGTCTCACATATTTTGGGCGTGTTGCTAGGAGGGGCCAGTCCTTGGAGAAAGACATCTTGCTTGCAAGGGTGGAGACACAGATCAGGAGAGGAAGACTCCAGATGAATGGACTGACACAGTAACTGGCGTAACAGGGGTAGGTTTGTCTGAGACAGTGAGGTTGGCTCAGGACTGGGCAAGGTTCAGAGCTATCATATATAGTGTCACTATGTGTCGCAGGCGAGTTGACAGCACATAACAAGCCTCCAATAAGACTTCGATGGGTTCCCAGAGGAATTTGGGCTTAAGCCAGGGCTTATTCATTTCTCGAGACACCCTCCTTCTCACAGTTATGTCTGAGAGCACTGGACACAGGACAGTCTGTCTTCTGGGTTCATACACCCACAATCTGAGCATGGGACGTCCTAGCAAACTGAATGCATTTCAGGGGAAATAGACAATCACTGGATTCTTCACAGGAGTAAGGAAGAACATCGTCAAGTTTTGACAAAGAGAAAAGTCTCTACTTCTCCTCTGTCCTATAAATCATCTTGCCCTAACTAGCCCCCACCTTAGTGGAGGAATAGACTACTACTTCCAAACAAATTAAAACATTACGGGTTGTTCCCCTATGGGGCGGTCAAGACTCCTACATAGGCCTTAACAGGATTTCTACCATGAGTGCACTCAAGATAGTGTGGCCTCTCTAGGCACCTCCACTGCTCTCGGTCCACCCCTGTGGTCACTGGGGAGCTCTGGTGGCCTAGTGGGTAAGGAGCTGTGCTGGTTGTTTTTGTTT